ATAATGCGGTAAGTTTGGAAAAATAGAAGAAACCGCGTGAGGGACTAATCTATTCTTTCAGGTATGCTTACAATCACACCAGGTGAAAAGAAATTTCTGATGATATCAGTTTCAGGAAAATGCAAGACACAAACAACTGAATATTTTGTTAGAGCCCAATTAGCGCGTGGAATAGATTTATCTCTTACATCCATTTACTCTTTGAAAATTAATTTTTAGGGAAACTGAAAGCTTTCGTTTGCCCACCCACACTCAAGGTGTTATGATAATTTTATTTACAACCAGAAATGCAACAAGTTTTCAACATTTTAAGAGAATATACTAATTAGAAACCCACCTATTCCAAGCTGGAAACTTATTGAATCACCTACTGAACACCTATCCTGTACATTATATTCCACAAAAAAATTATTTGTAAGTAATCCTTTGCCAAAACAACACAAATGTTATTTCGATTCGATCAAATAAATCAGTACCCACAAAACAATTTATTTTTTCAATGTGATGTTGTCTTATTCACAAACTATCATCTCTGGCACCTATATTACACTGTAGAATAGAGGATTATACTGAAACCGTAAAATATTGAACTTCAAACTACTAAAGTCTTAAGCAACACAAATTGATTTCGTTTAAATGAAATCGGTAAGCATACTGAATACTTTGTTTTTTATAGTTTGAATTTCAACAATATATCAATAAAAACACATGTAACACACGATACACAATTGAAAAATTTAGTATTCATTATACCAAAAGCTCAAATTATTAAACTTCAAACGGCGAAAGTTTTGCGAAGCATTTGCATTAGTATACAAGCTCACCTTACGGCGGGGTTGTAAAATTCCATAGACCACTAGGGCCACAATGCCACATACTCATTTCATGGCCTGTTTCAGATCGGTCGTGCAGGTGCCCCCACCAAGTCGAGCAAAAAGCGGCACAGCCTTAGCATCCGTTTCTAGGAGCAGTTCAGGCAATTTTCATGTACATACCTTCAACTTTGTTGGGGATGAATATAGAAGCCTGATAAAGTCAATCAGGCATTGTATAAACACGACAAGTTCATTCAATTTGAACTAGCACTCTAAGAATTATTTGGAATCAATATTTCCTAATTTTGTCACGCAATGACTGAGCAATCAACGGCATCTAAGGAACTTCCAGCAGACCTAAAAGCTTCACATTCAGAATACAATTAACGTTTAGTGCATAAATAACTTTGTTATCCCATATAAAGGAGTACAAAGCTACATTTGCAGTGAATAAATCAGTGTTATAAACCCTTATGTATAATAGAACTATCTTCAAGAAGAAATGAAACACCATCAAAAACAAAACTTCCGAAAGAAACCAAGTCACGAGTTCTACCATAAAATTCTACAAAAAAAGTTGTGAGATCGATGTAATAATGAACCGGTTAGTTTATTCAGTCCCTAGTTAAGGACCTTCTGTTTTACTATATTACGTAATTACTTATCCTAACAACATTGCATAGTGACCACATCAATATTAAAATTTTTTGCATGTTCCAAATAAAACAGTGCCATCGCACGAAAACAAAATGTATCTCACAAGTAATGCATGTTATAGACCATGGGGTATAAGTGCTGGCACCATATACCCCAATACGGAATTGCAAACCTGGCTGCTGAGTTGCGGGGCTAAATGATCCCCTGAATTCAAAAAAAAATTTTTTTTGCCTCACATCAATTTTTTGTTCAAAAATGGATGTGAGCAAAACGCAATTTCTATATGTTGCAGTGTATACGAAAATTAATGAATACGAAAAAAAATGAGCCAGACGATGTAATTCGACTTTGAACATTGCAAGTCGCGTGCAAAAATATTTTGCAAAAAATTGTATGAGAATGCATTTGGGGCAGCTTGAAATTTCAATGGAGTATTATTTATAACTGAAAGATAAGATTCCCAAACAGACACATAATTTTGTTGGGACTTTCCAGCTGCCAACCCCTAAAAATTCAGGGGATTCAGTTTTCAGCTTGCCTCAAATACCTACCCAAAAATTAGTGCCAGCTCTCCTACTATTATATAAATAGGATTGTTAAGTACGATTAACAAGTCAGTCTTTTTTATTTAAAACATAAAAGATATTCCTCACAAGTTTTATTTTCGACGACATTCCTATTGAATTCGGAGAACATCGTGATTATAAATCTGCATATTATAAAATTGCTGCCGTTGAACTACATAGACAGCTTTACAATAATGAATGAACTAATAACAAACTTAAACATTTGAACAATCTGTCCTTTCAGTTGACTCAAATTCGTGGCGCATATTGTGTCATTATGCCGAAAGTTTCCGTCGGGCCAGTGTGATTATAAATTGAAATATTAATGGCATAACTATGTAGTTTTCGAGAATGAACTTCATATAGAGAAATATACGTACATTTTTGAGTATGCTAACATGAAAATTTATGAAATAACTACAACTGGAAGGCAAACATTCCAATTTATTACCTGAATAGTTCGAAGTTTAATCATGATGACTCAACTGAGTATTCCAATATTTAATCGATGATATATCTACTATACAGAGTGTTTCACCGTGGAAACCGTGTACAGAAAACTGGGCTCTGCATAATAATATAGAAATTCATGACAAAATTTTATACTTTTCGAATGAACTTTTAATTAATGAAAAATTTAACTTAAGTACACAACAATCCGTGAAGATGAAATTGAATACATTCGAATCATCGAAGTACATACTCTGTCACACTATAATAATGTTAGTATTTCAGAATCTTTAATTCTTGAATTCTCAGCCAAGTTCAGCATTGACTTAACCCAGTGACAGTTACAGAAATTTCACATTACAATCTGTGGAAAGAAAGGAGTACACACCAATCAAAACGTTACAACTAGAATTCGAAAATTACATTATACCGAGAAATCAAATTTCAATATTACAGAAAGCGAATTAAAACAGGAAATTGAAAATAAAACAGAGAATTATTATAATTGAAACTTCAAAATTTAAAATAGTAATTTTAATGCTTCAGTATTAATTACAATAATCAAAAGTTTCAACGAAAAAATAACTCGCTAACGTAGCAAGCATTTTCTCAAAATTTCTCAAAACTCTCCATACTATTACTTCTAATGTCAGGTGTTCAAGCATTTGTTTAAAGGTGTTTCGCAATGGATTATTCATTATATTGTTGGACTTCCATTGACTATAGATTCTAAATAGTTATATTAATTACTATGATTTTAAATTCTGAAAAAAACTATGATTAATTGAAAATTGAAATAGTAAAACCAAGCTGATTAAACTGAAAAAGATTGATAAGTAATTGATGTCTTGAAGGCTGAAACAAAGATATAAATTGAACAAAATTACAATTAATTAAATTGAAACAAAATGAAATAATTCTTAATAATTCTCAAGTGGAAGCTCATCACTTGAGAACTGTTAGAGATACATTACTAATCGAAACGTCGGCGTCGTGTGAATTCGATTTCTGATTCCAACCATCCGTATATTCATCGGGGTTGAAATTATTACATTTTTTCCAATTCAATTAATTTTATTTCATTTTTTTAACTCATATTCATCTTTCAGTCCTTGGGACATTAATTACTTATTTATCTTTTTCAGTTTAAACCATTCAATTAAGTGAGTTTATTCAAGTGAGTGAATTTAATAAAGTGTGAGTAAGTGAGTAACTTTATTTACCTCAGCTAATAAACTCTAAAAAGAAATATTATGTATACAAACAGCAAACGACATATTTCAGTCATAAATATTATTTTTCACAAAAAGATACAATAATTTTTTTTAAATCATTATGATTCTCACATAATTTTAGTTGCGGATCTTGGCTTTTAAATAAAATCATTCCTTTAGCACATAAATTATTTAGGTATTTAGATGTACTGCACTTATCAATATAGATATCATTTTGTTCCCTATACATCTAACCATGTACATCTAACGATTTTTACACGGTCAACGGCATAGTTAGGGACCTTGCCATATTTTATTTTATAAACAAAGTCTAGAGTTTTATATACTATATGCTGCCTTATATTCAAACAACGTAGTGTTTCTAACATAAGTGATAAAGGTGAGTACCCATTGCACTTCAATATAATCCTAGATGCTCCATTTTGGACTGCAACTTTTGAGTATCATTTTGAGGCGAGGTGTATAATACAGTTGGACAAAGGTTTATATGTGGTAATATTATCGACTTATACAATAAAGACTCTGTAAAGACACTAACATAATTACTTATTCTAGCTAAAAATTTCATTTTTCTTGAAATTTTACTCATAACATACCTAAAATGTTTTTTAAAACTCAAATTTTCATACATAATAACACCTAAATACTTAGTCTAGCTGACTTGTCCCAATGGTTCATTATTAATGGTACGCCCATTACAATGGTACAATGTTACACCCAATGGTACATTATTGACTTTGATTTGTATATCACACTCTAAACTAGATAATTTTGCTTTATAAGACTTATCACACAACCATGTATGTTTAACCATCCTAATTTTCAATTAATCATAGTTTGTTTCAGAATTTGAAATCACATCTATAGGCAATTGGAGTCCGACAATCTAGAAGCATCTAAAATCATTTTTTTCTATATTTAGGTTTCACAGGAAGAGCTGTGTTTCTGGTCATTCGATTCTGCACCTAATTCGATTCCTAAATTTATCGAATATATAAGCAACGCCTTTCTGTTCAAAACTCACGTAAAATACAAGCTATATACAATTCACGTATATTCTAGATACTAACCCAATTCAATTCCTTCAAGCGTTGAGCGACATTGTCCTTTTTTCTAAAGAGAGAAAGTAAACCTTTTATAACAATTTTTTTAAATTTAGTGGGCCTACGGTTTAACGCTGGTTCCGAACGGACACTGGGCTTGTAATCAATGTACATTACCCAGCATATATAATTATTATTTAAACTACCTAAATTATAGACAAACACAAACACCCATGCCTTCATCGGGGCTCGAACCAGAGTTCTACCACATTATAGTCGGGTTTTCTGCCGACTAAAATACGGAGACCGGCAAAGAATTTATAATTCTTTGAATTCTTGCTGAGGAAGCAGAATCTGAGAAAGGCCCATACACTATATCTGCGTAATAAGCATGAGTCAGCACAACTGACTCATAAAGTCTCTTTTTTAAGGATAGATTAATGAATGTTTTCCTACAGTATAGATTTTTCAGTGGTGAGTAATACTTCTGTATACCTTTTTCAACAACAAAGATTCAACTCCCTACAAATAAACATTCAGTGAATTCAAATTCGATAATAAGACTTCAATTTGAATAAGAAGAACAATATCTATATATAAAAATGAATTGCTGTTCGTTAGTCTCGCTAAAACTCGAGAACGGCATGACCTATTAGGCTAATTTTGGTCTTGAGTTATTTGTGAAACTCCACAGAAGGTTTAAAACGTGAATAAATATGAAAATGCTCAGCATTAAATAAGAACAACAATTTTGTTTTTCTTTTTATGTGTCCCCCGTCGTTCAGAAGTCAAATTGAAATAATAGTTTGAAATGAATAACCAGGATGATAGCGAGAAAAGCAATAAAAACAACGATTTCATTCACCATATATACTGTTTCATTTACTTTCATGTCAAACATTTGAGGTTTGACATTTATAATTTGTTTTATAGTTGAATTACTTTCAAAAATTTATTTTATCATCAACATAACCTAATATTTTTTCTAGGGCGTTGTCTAATTTATTGTCTTCCCTCTATTTCTTGTGTTGTGGGCTCTCTATTGGTTATTATTATTTTTTTTATTATCACTTTTCACTAGCGAGTAGAAGATTTCAAATATTCTTGAACGCGAAAATATAGGAACGGGGAATCTGTTGATGAATATTCGAATTCTTTTCAAGCAACTTCTGAAAACCAGTTGTGTCAATAGACACAAAATTGGGAAATAAATTTTTTTCACTTCGTGACAGAGATTGTTTTTTCACGAAGAAATTAACAACATGACTCATATTATGAAGAAATTATATCTAAAAGCAAACAACAATACATCATTTGATACATTTACTGAAAAACACCCTGTGTGGAAAAAAAATATTGACCATAATCGTATCTGACAAATCACCATTAAAACAACGATGATGGTCTCGTTTCTTCAATATTAATCCAGCTTAAATATAATTATAAAATAAACTGAATTGCAGAATACCCCTCACAGCTTATAGGCAATTCTTTAAGGGAAGTAGAGCTAAAGCACGTAGTATTTCGCTATAAAGTAGCATCTGATCCATTTAAACAACTCTCTTTCCTCTTAATGTGTTTACATTGTCCGCCGTAAATAAGAAAAAAGGAGGGATAGCACGACAACAAACGAGGTGAAATAGAAGTAAATACTTACTGTATAATCTTGCATTGAAAGACGATGACTCAGCAGGAAATGTAATTATATACCACGGTAATAGAATGCCTCGTGAATATCCAATCAATCAATAGAATGAATAAATCATCAAATAATGAATAAATCATTTCAATAGATGAGTCTGTTTATTAAAATGATTTTAAATATACAGTTATGAGGTTCATTAGTCCTTAATAGTTAGTCAACACTGATGTTTTGAATTGAAATATCGAAATATTCCGAATGAAACTCCCATGGAATTATCTACTCAAATATCACTTTGAAATGAGACACTTAGTACGTTTGAAAAAATATCTTACTTCTTGTAAATACCATACAGCGCTGTTTCATTTTGTTATGAAAATCATCAGTGGCATACATCCAAACAATCAAGTTCAGATAGTTTTCTAAACGCACCAAGATCCAATCTTTTCAAAATACGGGAAACGTTAAGTGAACTACTCACATGAGCTCCCTCTATCGAAGAAACAAGATGAACTCTCTCGAATATAGTAAGACGGTGTTTGTGGCAAGATCAATGCGTACTTCCATACAAAGATAGTAGGCTTTGTGAAAGTTTCATCCAAATACCTCAGAGATTTTTTTGGTATGTAAGAATGGTCAATGCTCTGGTTCACACCTTAGCAGGAAATAAGATAACTTGTTTTGAGATTCATGAGTCCTTCATAGCTAGTAAATATTGAAGTTTTCAAACTCAATATATCAAATATGACATTCAGGTAGCAGTCTATTTTCGTTTGGTTGCATGCCACTGATGATTCCCACTTTAGGATGATACTAGTTGAAGGTGTGTTAACTGAAAAAAGTTTTGTGTTGTTCAAAATTCATTAGATATTCTCTCTCGAAAGGGATGATAACAATAATAATTATATTCATTTAGCTGAAGCTATACAAACAACTAAGGTACATATTTTGAAGGGCCAATTTTGAATTGAATACCTATCTCATTATCTTCAATATAATTTTTCAGCTCACGCATAAATATCTCAATACCAGTACTAGTTTTCATAATACTTAGTATCATATTGAAAGCATCAAATTTGTCATATAATATACTATTTTTAGATTTCGAAAGCTTACAACTTTTTATGTAAAAACTATCACTTTTTCTAGTATTATATCAATGCACATTGCTGCACTATTTTACATGTTTTATTACATTACATTTAAGCAACGCATTTTCAATTTATAATTAGAATATATATGTAGCAAAGGTTATTGCTTGTTTACAGACTTCAAAAGAGTTCTGCATAATTTCAACTGGGGTATATATTTTACACATTAAAATTGTTCACATTCTGTAATTTTTGTAATTGTTGTTTTTTTTTAGTCAAACCAAATAAGTAAGTGTAGCAATATTCAAAATGTAGGCATTATTAAAGATTTGAACAACAATAACCTCACATATGGCGACAGTTTCCTTCCTATTCTTTCAAAAAGATTGATTTTGCAGAAATTTCAGATGATATGAAATCAACATACCGTTAAAACTCAATTCCTCATCTCACATAATGCTTAAATATTTTACAGTTTTCCATTTTGATATTTTACATTTGTATTTATCTCAAAGTTCTTACTTGTACCCAAAACCATGGTTAGATTTCTACACATGGGGCATTTGATGAAGAAAGTGTCAATTTGTTATGACTGTATATTAGACGTAGACTTTTCATTCATTAAACTTCAGGTCATTAATTAATTGAAAGCATGGTAATTGAAATATTTGTTATAAAATTTATGTGAATTAACACTTTGCTCAATTTCTTTCATTTCGTTCCTTCAATAAACTCTATAGGTTCACGTTCCACGCAACCGTTGAAGACAATTGTATTGAGGACAGAAGACAGTTGTACTGAACTCTTGACAATGGACAAGTAGCCCGACAGAAATATCAAGTATTCTGAGGAATGTTGTGAAATTTAAAGAAGTTTCTTGAATATAGGAGGCATTCGAATTGTTTAGGTTTCGGTGAATCTAAGCGGAAATTATTTCTCCAGGTCCTGTAATTGGAGCATAACACTGAAAAATTTAGCTGTTGACGGTATGGAAATATGTGACTTTTTGGATAACAGCGTTTTCTAATTTAGCTATTAAGTGGAATAATGATTCAGCAGGAATAAGTGAACGCCATCCGAATAAAAACATTAGGGTAGGAAAAAAGGCGGCATACGAGCGAATGAAAGCTCCTGAAGCAGATTAACAAGGTGAAAACGTATTTTAAACGCACGGGAAACGTTTGCCGTTCTGCAAGCGCATAACGAAGTTTCGTTAGAATTATTTCCAGTTTTTAGGGTTTACGTGTGAACGCGTCAGAGGGAGTAGGATTCATTATTGTTTCACTTTAGGTAGTTCCTGGAGTTTTTATTATTGGGTTGAACGTAATTCAAACGGAAAGATTTGCGCGCGTATATATATATATATATATATATATATATTCAATGTTTTTAGCGATAACAGGCTCATTTTAATGTGAAAAACTTCATTTTCGTTGACGTTTCGTTGTATACCACAAATTTGTCAAAACTTTCCGATATACAACGAAAGTTTTGACAAAGTTGTGATAAACAACGAAACGTCAACGAAAATGCAGTTTTTCACATTAAAATGAACCTGTTATCGCTACAAACATTGAAAATAAACTATCTTAAACAGGCAATAAATCAATTTAAAATATATATATATATATATATATATATATATATATATATATATATATATATATATATATATATATATACATATATTTAGAAGGGGTTCGTATATCCTCTAAAATTCACATAAAACATCTGGAACCTACCTAAGTTATAATATTCGGCACTCCCAATAATAGTTGCATGCCGTTAAGAACACGCCATCTAGCTAGCTTGAGCAGCGAACTATATATACGACCAAGCGTTAGTATATTAATTTTATTGAGCTGATAAGAGTCTGCGCTAGAATTATTGTTGTAAATGGAGCGTAATTGGTCCATAATAAATGCGAACCTCAAAGTGATTTCGAATTGGTAGATATAAATGAAACACGATTTTCTTGGTAAGTATAGTTATTGCAACGTTTTACATAATTTATTAATTCAATATTTTCATTACGAAACACTTGATCAAAATCGGACAAAATTCCAACAGAAATAACTGAGGAAGTTTCAAACGAGTAATAGAAACGTATCCAAGAAATTGTGCATATTGCAATGACCTTGAAGTGAATTGATGATAGGGAATGGAAACATTTGACTTGAATTTCTGTGAATAAAAACAGTTCACTGAATTTACTGAGAGAAACCCAAATCGAAATCTTCGAGTCATTTAGTGAATTCACCAAAAATGCCTGATCTGTTCGATTTTTAATTCAAGGTCTGCATATTTTATCATTTTTCCTGGCATTCATGAAAATTCTTAAAACTCTTTCTCGTTCTGATAAGGTGAGATATTTGGGTATAGTCTTCGATCAGAAACTTTTCTTAATTCCACACATCACCCAACTTGTTTCATTTGCCTGTAAAATATATATGTAAAATATATGGATTCGTTATACGCAATGGCAAATATTTCAATAATTCCTCTACATTTATGAGACTATTTACATCATGAAACTTTCAGTCTAGGGGAAGAGGCTTCTGTCAGAAAGTTGTA